ATTGATTTATATATAGATATTTCATTACATAAAATATAACATATTAAAATTTTAAATAGAATTATTATGTAAAATTTGTGTAATTAATAAATAAATAACGTGCGATACTTTTGTCCAAGTAGTGTATAATTAGTTGAAATTATGTTATTTAGCAGTTAAACTATTGTCAAATTTGATTAAATTTAATAATAAAAACATTGATAAATCATTTTTAATTATTGTTACTTCACATAAAAATATATATAAAATTAGTAAATAGATTTCAAAATTTAAAATTTTAACTTTATCAATTTTTGAATCCTTAATTATACAATCAAAAATTATAAAATTCATATATGTTATACCTTAATACTAACTTTATTTCGTATATTTTTTTTCAAAAAATTTTCATAGATAATTTTTAAAATTTTATTATTATGAAAATTTTATTTCCTTATTAAATTTTTGCTTTTGAATGATTTTAATTGGTCATTACTATAAATTCCAAAATTTTAACAATAATAAAATTTTAGAAATTATTTATAAAAAATTTTTTTTAAAAAATAGAAGAAATAAAGCAAGCATTTATAATAAAGTGAACTAAAACTTTTGGAAGCAACCGTCAAGAAATCCATTAATTATTAAAAGGTCATGGACGTGATAAGATTCACAAAAATCTACACTTGAAAATATTAAATAAATTCGTGTACATTGTATGACTGTCGAATTGACTCGCTTAAGCATCTAAACAATCGAATAAAAATAAAATCAATGTACAGCACATAATGTATACGCATTTTCCACAAGCACGCGTATTTATCCAAGGTAAACGTTCTTCACTCAACGAGCATATAACACAACTCATTTTTTCGCTTCATCACCGGTTAATTAGGTGAGAAGGAGTTTTTTCTTTCTTTTTTTTTTTTTTATTCCAACCTGAACAATTTCTAATACAAATTTACATGACAACTTCATTACTTTGAGATGTGTGAGAACGAATTAATGTTGCCCCAAAGTGACATAATATACGCATCAAGATCCCAAATATTCCCAGAGCAAACGGAACCCAGAAGAGAATTCCCGAAATGGTGTTGGCCTAGACGCGAGCAAAAAAAGGATAACATGCCGGTTGCGAGTGAAGACTCCTCGGAACCAACAGGCGGAAGAAAAGGAAGTCAAACTATTTATTTACATTATATTATGGGTTGCGTATTTACAAGTTAAGCGCAAGAAAACAATGGAGAGTCTTAAAAGGGAGATACTGTATATAAGAGTATGTTGAATTAAAAAATGGAGTAAAAGACAAATGCATTTATATTATACTTGCAGGGGTAATTATTTATACTGTATGGGTAAGGTGATGATAACATGAGATAAAGGAATATGAGTAATATGTAAGTTCACATGCAATTGTGGCCCCCTGTAGTCGCAGAAGAATCTTTTTCCTCTCGGTTCCGATTTTCATTGTTCCTAACCATGATCTTTGCAATCTCAATCTTCGCTTATTCACTCTATTAAAATCCCAAGCTTCTCCGTCCAAACAAAATCTCTACTGTGTTTCGCTTTCCTCGAGAATCTGCGACCTCCGTGCCGCTGTTATTGCTATTGTGAAACGATGAATCCCTTGAAGCCGACGGAGATATTGTACTTTCGGCTGCATTTTCATCACTACTTCCGGAATATACCATGTGCGAATATTTTCCAACTGAGTCGTATTGTAATGCAATCACGAGAATAAAACATCCTAATACGAACGATATGTCGTCGAGGAAGCGAATTACCCAAAAATTGTGGACGGTCGGCGATAAGGAGATGGTGAATATCGTGTGAACGGTGATAAAAAGCAAGGATAGAATCAACAATGTCGTCAAGATGACCGACTGATGAATAAGATTTTGGACATTCGGTTATTTATTAGTTTTCTTTGATTTGTCTTCAAGTCATTCGTTACCTTGGCGATCTCCCGATTTGTCCTCGCTTTCCGTACTTGCGCATTAGCGTTCTGCCGAATTGGAACCCGTTCATGCTTCCTGGCTAATACCATTGTCATCCCAAATATCGAATAGGTGGAAATCCCGAAGAATGTAAAAATCAACTCCATCACGATGTACAAAAGTCTAGAAATGCTCTGACCCATTATGTTGACCGTTGGCGCGAACTCAAACAGACTAATTATCGTTGCGACAATCTTGATCAAGATAACGAAGAACAATCCAATAAGAAATGCGCGGCATAATTTGCGAACTCGGAGTGCCTGATAATTTAATTCCTCGGATAGATTTCGAGTGGCTTTAATCCTGGATTTATGAAAAGAGAAAAATTTCCACCTCGATTAGGGTCTGAACGCCATCATTGCACCATCGACAAGACTTACCAAGGAAACAGGAAGAGCGCGTAGCAAATACATAAAATGAAGTATCCTAGCGTTTGAATGATCACGTATTGAAGTTCAGACAGACGATTGTAACGTATGCCCCAGGGATCATACTCTAGCATCACCAGGAAAACTGGGGATATGACGTCATGAATAAAAATGGTAAATTCAAACGTGAAAAAAAAATTTTAAAAATAAAAATACTAACTCGTAGAGCTTGATCCGATTCCCATGAGTAACCACGGTCTCGGATTGGTCGACACAAAACCATGATTACAGATGCTTATGAATGTAAGACAGAATGCATATATTGCCACAAATCCGTACAGGACCCCAAAGACAATTGACCATACCATCAAGCTTTTGCTATTGAGTAATGCTATCCAGGGACCGTCGTCTAAGCGTGAATTGATGATGGTTTAGTTGTTTTCGCTGTCATGAAAAAGGGAAGTGGGTTCTGAGCTTGATTGTGATAGAAGATAATACCTTGAGTGACGGTGGCATAGATAGTTTCGTTGAAAAGATTTATGACCTTGGTTGCATCTGTCATCCTAATCAACGCTAACGCGGGCGCAGCCTTCGAAAGAACCCGAAGATCGCCGTAATATCGTTCCCTTACTCCAGGATCTCCGTTATTAGTGGATGTGAAGATTACTACGGTTGATGGGCATTGAGGTGCATAGGCCGATCTACGTGTCACGTGAGTAATAGGTATTTGAAGCCACGGATTGCTAATTATAAAATAAACGTTATTGACAATGAAAGATTTTTTCGTTGGATTCCCTATTGTGGCAAGACTCCATTAATTCATGCGTGACGAATAACCATAATAATTATTTTATTTGTCGGGATACAATAATAATAATTAAGCGCCGACCACCTTTATATGGTAAAATTGATGACTATTTTCATGACACCGGAAATTTACTCGATAATCTTTAGTGGCAAGGCAAATTACGGTCACGTTATTTTAAATTCTCCTTACCTTGAGATAACGTCCGAATAGGAGGAGCACCCATTATTCAATCCTTCATCGAAGGGCACCAGCAATATGGATGTATTTTCTGGAACCGATTTCAGGGTGCAAGGTGCTGCTGCTGACCCGTCGTCAAGAAAAGAAGCAATTTTCAAACTACCATTTATGTACCCATAATCACAAGAATTCACCCACATAAAGTCCACAGTTGAAAATGCAACCCAGGAAATATCACTTGTATGCAGGAACAAGCTCGCGTTGCAGTTTGTGCAGACTTGGGTGAATATGAGCCAAACCAGGAGGACACGTGCGCAAGCGGTAGGTGCGTGGAATGTGGGAACTCTCCTGTCCAAAAAGCCCATCCGCCCGAACATAGCATTAATTATTGTGGTAATCTGGTGTACAAAATCTTTTTTTTAGTTTTTTCTTGAAGAAGATGAGGCGGTGTTTCTTTGACAATACAAGATCAACTCGGAATATGAACGCACTCGTTCGTTACACTGAGAATGCCAGGTTCGGGCGCCGTCAAAGACTAATTATCCACCAGAAGTAAGGCTCAACTGAAGGAAAAAATTAACTCTGAGAAAACGGAACGAAGTTGAAGGGAACCTTATAAAACATTTCAGAGCGAGTTGCTTTTTATAAATAATCTGCAGATGCAGATTGTCAAAATTGGATGGGTTGGTTACCTTATCATTATCACAGGGACGTAAGATAAACTTTTCTATGGCGACACAAATAATACTAATTTAATAAATTACGCATAATGTAACGGCATTCGGACCCTTGTAACCAAAATTATACTTAAATATCTCATCGCTAAAATATCACCAATATTTACTGGACCTTTGTTCCGAAGAATTTCACCATAGGCCTCGCATAAACAGTCATTGGACGTATGTGCGAATGTATGTCGATTGGTAAACCATCCTTTTTAAGAAACCATTTAATAAAGATATAATGAAGAAATAAAAAAAAGCATGAATGGATCAATAAAAATCGGTAAACTTTATATAAATAAGGAAAGATATTGTGAAATCTTAACGTTAAATCTTAACAAAGTCTAATTCAAATTCTTTATATGCGCGCGTTCAAATATTTATGATTTGTTTGTGCACATAACAAAGTAATAACAATTCGTGTATATTATTATGAAAGAAGATTCCTGGTCGAAAACCTTCCTTTTTTTTTTTTTTTCCACTATGACGTCGAATGGACAGGATGTTTTTTTTTTTTTTCGTCTTATGGCATTGTCTTAACTGAATAATCATTTTCGGAATGAGGATTTGGGATAATTAACGTAGTTCCGAAGGTTACTGACTTGGGGGTTGGATGAAATACATACGTTGCACAGGTGCATACGCATGTACACGGGGTTTGCACACCGGAATACGCACTGTATATTGCAATAATGTACGTACTAGCATGTAGGATTTTATAGTAGTAATGAGGATGACGATGCAATTCGAACTTTTCACGATCATCACCAATAATTGCTCATATACCGTATATTACGATACCCCTAAATGATTATTTTGTCATAATTCAAATCAAGTTCCTAACAAGCTTATACCATCACCGCGAAAATCATAAATAAAGATTACCAACACAATATTAATATACGATTCTCCCTTAAAATAAACTAGGTATAACCTGAACTTTTTCCTTTCAGGACAATAGCATCACTTTAGATTTAATAATAGTGGTCCGGACAATCTCCATCTACTTGTGAACAACCGCATGCACATACACATTTTTGTTTACAATGTTTCGAAACGCTTCTAGTTTTGGGGGGAAAATGTTTCAGGACTACAGTATTAATAATTTTGCTCCATGGTGAAATATTGGAGCCAATCACGTGCAATACATGGGTATTTTATTTTGTGCATACGCTCGTAGCCAGGTAAAACATAAAGTTATGTATGTAATTTTTTCAAAAAGGACCAGTAAAATCCCTCGCAACAACATGAATAGAGGTCATAACAAGTAATAATCGTTGCTGGCGAACTGTCTGGGCGGAGGTATAGAACCTCGAGTTGGTGGCAACAGCATATCTTGGACTCGATTAAAAGTACGCAGGAACTAACGTAATTACGCTAGCATCTCTTTGATATCATGCCCTTGGAAAAGACCCCATGTCTTTGTTTGCTATAGAAGGGAATGTATCATTATAGATTGAATGTCGAGTGCCCCTAACTCTTTTTTTTTGCGCAAACATTTTACTCTGATCATAAAGGGTCGTTGATTGATCTGTCATATTGAATATTTGCTATCACAATATGGTAGATGGAAATCTGGTATAAAAATATGACGCTAAATGAAGAATAAAAGGCAATGATGGAAAACCACGTATCGAATAATATTACCGACCAAATGTAGACGTGCTGCAATGTCAGGCGCAAAAGACCTGAAGTTGGTCAAAGACATTCTATATAAAATCTACCTAAGCGAAGAATAGATAATAATATATTTGAATGACAGATTTGAATACGGAGAACCCCGACTAAATGCACTCTCCTTAAATGCATCATGTTTTTCCTTTTTAAATGCATGCTCGAGCCGGCGAACCTTTAAGAAAATCTTCTAAAAATACGTATAATTATAAGAAAACTTTATTTACAGTTTTAAAAGATATCCCTTAAATTTTCTACCGTTTCTTCAAAGTAATATAACTTTGATGAAATTATAAGGTATACAGTGAAACCTCCCTAAATTCCCCCCGGAGCCATAGTAAAGGAAAAGCAAAGAGTTAATTCACGAAGGGGTACAGGGAGATCATTTTTATTTAGCTTTGAGACCAAATCCGGATGTTCATTTAAAGTCTATGAGGGCCGTTTAGAGAGGTTTTACTTTGTCGTGTTATTTTGAATGATTAAACTGTTAACATAATTACATAAATAGAATCAATTAAAAATTCTGTAAGATAATAGTCCTAGAATTTTTTTTACTTGACCGATTATGAGTTTAACTTTATTTTCTTCCTTAACGTTCATTGGCAAGACTGCATAGGATAGAAAAGAAAATTTTAACTATTCTTTTTTTTAAAAAAAAAAAAAAAAAAATACTGATATTTCAATATTGTTATATGGTCAATTGCAAATTACAATATATAATTGATTATTTATGGTTACTATTACATTATTATTGTTCTTTAGAATTATAAAACCAAAATTAAATAATTTTATGTTACTGTATATATAGTATATAAAAATAATAAATAAAAAAATTTTTTTTATTATTTATAATAATTTTATTAATGAATACTATGCTGTATATACATATAATAATAAATAATCTTTTCAAATAATTAAATTATTTTTAACATATTTAATATAAAATATATATAACCAATTAAAATTATATTTTTTATGATACTTCAGTAAATAATTATGTAATTTAAATAAAATTTTAAATATACAGTAAATAATTTAATTTATAATATTAATTTAAAGTTAAAAAAATGTTTTTAAAATAAAAACAAATAAAAACTACAATAATATTAATATATATATATACATATATATATTAATTTGTTTTTCAAAGTTGATTTGATTTTTAATATATATAATTGTTTCTAAAAATTTAAATCCATTTATTATATTTTTTATTATAAATCGCAGCTTTATCAATTATTGAATTTTTAATTATACAATCAAAAATTATAAAATTTATAAATATTATATCTTAATATCTATTCTATTTTTTATATTTTTTTAAAAAAAATTTTTTATAAATAATTCCAAAAAATTTTTTTTATTAATTATCATATAATTTATAATAACAATTAATTGAAACTATTTAAAAGTAAAAATTTGATAAAGAAAAAAAATTTTTAACAATAATGTAATATATGATTGCTTTCAAAAGTTTGAGTTCACTTACTATATTTTTATTATATATTTCAACTTTGCCAATTTTTAAATCTTTAATTATATAATCAAAAATTATAAACATTATATATACTGTATTTTAATACTTATTCTATTTCATACATTTTTTAAAAAAATTGTTATTATTGTTAAATATTTTTATTTTTTATTAATTATTATATTATCTATAATAACAGTTAATCAAAATTATTTAAAAGTAATATTTAATAAAGGACAAAATTTTTTAACAATAATAAAACTTAAAAATTATATATAAAATTTTTTAAAAAAAATTATAATAAATAAAACTAATATTAGAATATAATATATATAAATTTTTACTCATATAAAAAGAATTTAAAAATTATTAAAATTGAAATTTATAATAAAAATATAATAAATAGATTCAAATTCTTGAAAGAAATTATATGTAAATTTTATAATTTTTGATTATATTATATAATTAAAAATTTTTGTCAACCTATAGATAAATGATAAGTACCTAAAGTATTTAGCATATAAAATTTTACAGATCACTTATATCTCTTTTTAAGAAACAAAATTCATAGCTATTTACTTTAATAGGAACAAAAGTCAGAAAATATTATAAATCAATGATTTGGATAATAGAGAAAAATTGTGAATAGTTTTTTTATAGTTATTAATTTAAAAATTTTAAAGTTTTCTAGCTAGAGACATTTGAATTTTGTCTTTGTCTCCCTTTTTAGGGACACATCTTTACCTATAGGGAAAGAGTACTACTAAACTCATCCAACTTTTAAATAATATATATGAAGAATCTAAAGAAAAAAGAAAAAAATTATAGGTTCTCTTTCAAGACATGGCAAAAGCCTATAACACATTTAATCTTGAAATATTGAAAAAAGCAATATTAAGAATTTAAATTCTATTAGTAACAAGACAATTGCTTATTAATATTTTTAAGAACAGAGAATGTTATACTATTCTTTCTACTGAACTTTCTAATCTATTTATAGCAAGGAATATATTGATCAAAGAGAAATAATATCTCCATTACTTTAATGAATTTTCTATAATTCATTGCTCTACAAAATTTCAAATAATTAAAATTATGAATAAATTATAGAAGAAGAATAGTATTTAATTTCCAGATATCAAAAATTAAGAAAAAACTATTTATTAGACAAGTAATTATTATATATATTGATGACATAACTTGGATAGTTAGATCTAAGTAAGATATGAAGAACATTTTGAAAAGGTCAGAAAATTCTATATAGTAAATAATTTACAGATTAATAGTAAAAAGTCAATTTTGCTTACAATAAATTAGAATAAGTTGAAAATTGAAATAGTTCATATTGGTATTAACAAAACAGAAGTCAAGAAATTGAGTAAAGATAATCAGGTACAATTCTTAAAAGTTTGATTTAAAAGAAGACATGATAGCAAGAATATAATTAACTTGCTAAAAGTCGAGATTAGATTTATAAATCTAGTGATTATAAAAA